TGAGTTCCAGGAAAGGCGCAAAGCTACACAGAGAAACCCTGTCTCGAAAAACCAAAAAAAAAAAAAAAAAAAAAAAAAAAAAAAAAAAAAAAAAAGATGACCAAGTTGGCAGAGTTAATTACCCATGTAAAGATTCATAATTTTCTGGTAGCTACATTTCAAAGACACACCTTGAATGTTAAGTTCTACTTGGAATTCTAAATAGTTCCACATCAAATAACAAAAATTATCCACCAGGTTTTATTTTTGTCTTCATGTTATTACCTTGATTCGTCTTTGTAGAAATCCTTGTTGAGCACATAAACAGCCAGATTGTGGTGCAGGATTCCCTCCTGAATGGGCTGTCAAGGAAAGGTTTGGAAGTTAGAGTGTTAGCAGAAGCGGGACTCTACTCCAAGCTTTTGGGAGGGAACACCACAGTCACTGAAATGCCACAAGTATGACAAAGTAGGTGCTGTGGTGCTCTAAGGGTAAGGAATGGGGATGGAGTCAGGATATTAATTCCATTGAGCATGTGACTATAGAACCACCAGTTACTGTAGCCATCGAACAAAGGCTGTGAAAGAACCAGTGTCTCTTCTGTCTGCCTCTCTCTGACTCTCTGTCTCTCTTTCTCTCTGTCTCTCTGTCTCTAGCCCTGTCTCTGTCTCTCTGTTTCTCTCTGTCTCTCTGTGCTTTTGTTGAGGTATTTTTTTGTGGCTCAGTTCTTTCTTTTCTTCAACACAAGAAAAAGTTGTAAGGAAAGAGTCACCCACTCCAGTCAAAATATTGAAGAACGTATTAGTAGCTGTTTGTAAATTTAGAGTGTAAGTTATGTTATGAACTGAAACAACAACAAATTCAAATCATTGGGTAAATATTTTTTAAAATGGTTATTAAATTATCACTTTTATAATATGTCACAGTGAAGTAAGAACTCCAGGAGAGCTACAATCGATACTTAAAAAGCCTGTCCAGATCAGTACAGGTAAGATTAATAATGAATACTCTATTGGTCCTACCCTAATTGAAAAAGAGTCACAAGTTTTTTTTCCAGAGAAAAAAGCCAAGGAAATCCAATATAAATGCAGGTATATCCTTTCTTAATTTGCTTCTTAACATTTGTAGAATTTAAAAACTGTTAAGTTCTTTCTAAGAAATCACAGTCTCAAACCCTATCATCTGAAACATGTTTGTTTGTTTTTTAACATGAGCCAATATTTTTGTATAAATAAGAAAATGATGTTTAACCTAGTCCAAATATCCTCTATATCCACTTAATAGCAAGATGGATCTGTTATAAAATGGATTTTTTTCAGTTGTTATACTAAACGCCTCATTTTTTGCTATGTATTATTATATAGCAATGTGATTATGTATAAAACCAAAAATGCAATATCCAATTACCTTCATTAATTTTTTGTGACTAAATGTAATTAAGGTTATCTGTTTTTTTCCATTCTGTAATTTTTCAATTTAGACATATTAGACAATTCACATATTGTCTTGCAGTTACCTTTAAGTATCTGCCACTTAATGTGAATGTGTCTTGAAACAGTATGTAAGAGGTTCAAGGAATATCTTTTAAAAGTCAATGGATTTTGAATTTTGTAGGCAGTGCTAGGGATTGAACACTGCCATTGTGAGCATTCTAGGCAAGTGCTTTCTCTATTGCCTATGTGGCCAGATTATGCCAGCATATGCCGGTTATGATGACAATTGGTTTATGTGTTACAAGATGTATTTTCAAGAGAATATGCCACAGTAGCAGGAAAGTTGACAAAACAACACTATTATCAAGTCGGCAACATTGACCACAGGGTCCTGACCCACTGAGTCTGGACAAGATTCTAACAGTGGAGAGAATGCTACAGGATTTGTGCTTTCAGCAACTGTAACCACAGAATCTTTCACACCTATCTTGCCTTTGGAAGGCAAACCAGGGAGTGATAGTGTAGACGAATTGGAATGCCCCTCTTCACATAAGAGATGTGGTGAAATGTGGCAACCAGTATTACTATAACGTGGGTTACTATCTTTTATGTTATTTCAACACGATATTATTGAACCTCCCTTGTGGTGATGAGGACTGACCAAGGCTTCCCACATGCTGAATGTAGGCTCTAGCACTGAGCTGCATTCTCAGTCCATTTACTGCTGGGACAAATGCTCACCTCAGTCATGGGCAGGATCAAGGAAATGACATTTTGCATACTGCAAATGAAGCCAACAAGAATTGATTTTCTTTCTTTTTGGAGGGCAGAGTGTTAGCATAGAGTGAAAGCTCAACTCATTGATGGTTTACATGTGGAAACATAAAAGGGTTTCATGTGAGATACTACTCCCTTGAAATGGCTGCTTTGTGCCCATGCTTTTCCCACGATTCTCTCACTGGAGATCCAGTTCAGGGTGCATACCTTTCCAGTACTTCTTATGGTGGGAGGTGAAGGGAGCTGATGCTGAGCTCCTTTACACTGCACAGGCATGAGGTACTCTAGCTAGAATGGAGGGGCTTCTTAGCATCCTCTCAGATGCGGACAAGGAGACAAAGCACACTGACTTCTCTGGAGCTTTGCCACACTGGCAGTTGGAAATTCTTCCCAAAGGTGTTTGTCCTTGGTCTGTTTGCATCTCCTATGTTCTGCTATGCTGCAGAGGGCAGTCACCATAGACTTAGCTTCCTTGTGTCTGGAATTTTCATCCTCAATGGAGCAGGTTAAACTCAATCCTTGGACAAGCTCCTTTCACTCCTATACAAGATGAGAATACTCATAATTCCTAGCAGCATTAGTCCACAGACAAAAGAGCAACAGCAACGAGGTTCAGTTTGAGATACTGATCTGGTGTAGATGCCAGTTCCTCTGTCTAATAGGGTCATATATATTTGCACAATTTGTTATGATTATTAACTTCTGGTAATGTTGTCTCTTTGCCTTTGAAATATACAGGAAAATGGAAATTAAGAGTTCTCCATGTATTTATTTTATATATATCAATATTTGCATGAAGACTATCCAGAATTGGTGTCAAAGTATATGTGGTAGCAAAACTTTAGCCTTGGCATTTAATAGTTGTATTTTCTGCAGTTATTTATAACACATTTTGTCTTTTTTTTTTCATAGTGAATGCAGGAACTGAACAGAAGACTCCAATCAGGTAAGCGTATATGGGTTTTAAAATATACTGAATATCCAGAGATATCAAATTTGGAAATCACACTGTTTTCCTCTGTGTAAGTCAATTTCACCATCTTTATTCCTCCTTTATTCACAAGCTGAATAATTATTGGTAGAGCACACAATTTTGCAATTACTGATTACACCTGATCCAGTGTGTAATACTGTTAAGAATCCATGGCTAGAGAGATGGTTCACTAGCGAAATTACTTGCCCTGCCTGTGTCAGACTGGGAGTTGGATGCCCAGAAGTCACATGAGGCCTGATGGTCTCATGTGCATCTGTAATCTTGAGGAGCTTCGAGTGAGTTGGAAGGGAGACAGAGAATCCCCCAAAGTTGACTCAATAATTATTTGGGGGTGTGCATTCATGGACAAGACACAGCAACAAAAACAAGGTTGAAGGTGAAGGTTGACCTTCCCCGCAGTTTGTACTCTAATTGCCAAACTATGCACCCTGGCATGCATGTATGTACCTGAAATCACATATGCATGCAAGTGCACTGCCCATAACATACCATGCACATGTATTTAAGATATCAGTTTCAGGTCATTAATTCTGATCACTAGTATGTTTGGGCCAAGTTATCTGTTGGCAAGAGTGTGAGTAACAAGGCAGGGTTCAAGACTCTCCCAGGCATTGCTGAAGATCCCTTCAGAATGGCCTTATGGACATGTTCCGCACAGACATAAAGAGCCTCCTCAATGAGTTCCACAACGGTGCTGAAAACCAAGGTCGGTGGAAGGTAGGAGAATGAAGTGGTTTATTATTACCAACAACAAGCCCTGAAGTCTGGAGTTCTGATCTGTAGTTTGGATAAAGTGGTGCTGAGGGGACAGCGTTGCTCCCCACTGTGCTATAAAGACTCAGCATTACAGAATTGCTTGTTGAGCATAAAAATAGCCATTTGACAGCTTCATCATATACTTGTGAATAGACTATCAAAAAGCAGCTTTAAAGCACCAAAAATGTGGTGGCTTCTGAGAGTGCTGGCCCTTCAGTGCTTAGAGCTATGAATCAGATTCATGTTCTACCCACCAACCTCTTGGGAGGTAGCATGAGACTCAGCGAAATACCTAAAACGTTTCCTGATAGTGAAGGGACCATGGTGCTCTAGGGTGTGGGAAAGGAATTAAACAGGAGCATTAAGTGCATTGAGCACACAAACAAAGTCAGCAGTTACTGCAGCCATGGGAACAAAGTGTGTGGAAGAACCCCTGGCCCCTCCTGTGTGTGATCATTAATTTCTGCCCTCATGTAGAGTTTCACTTTGTTGTGTTCTTGTTTCTCTGAGGAACAAAAATACATCAGATTTAAGTTATTTGAAATTGTTCGGACTGTTTTTAATATATGTACTTATTGCTACTGATTTCTTTCTGAGTATATCATTCATTGTATACCAAAGATCTAGCATGGAATATTTTTATATTCATTCAATTTTAGAGAATTTAAAAATTCTTCTTAAAGCCTATGGTAAATAATTACTCAAAGAGAGAGACATCTAAGTTAAATGACATGCCATCAAATGCACCTAACAAACATCTATAGATCATTCTATCCTTACATTCAGAACATTCATTCTTCTTACCTGTGCAAGGAATATACAAAAACATATGAAGTGTGAACAACAGAGTAATGTGTGTGGTGTTTTAATCAGGGTAAAAATTTTTCTCTGTCTTTGATATGAGGAAAGCATTCTCTGATCATAGTTAACCACTGAAGCACAAATTATTATTTTGTAAATGACTAATGTAAGATATATTGGGAAATCAAAAAGAAAGTATTAAGAGTATTTGTTAAATGTTTTTCATGTGAATTTAAATGTTAATTAAAAATACTTCACAGTGAAGCTATGCCTTTGAAGCAGATGAAGTCTGTTAACAGAACAAAGTCTGCAGAGTTCCGTGAAGGTAAGAGTAAAAGTCTTTAACGAGTATTTATGTGTGTGAGCGTTTTTCTTGGGCATGTACAAGCAATACCACATTTGTGCTTGGTGCCTGTGGAGGTCAGAAGATGGCGTTGGAACCCTTGGGATCCTTGCACCTGGACTTATGGTGGTTGTGAGCCACCATGTGGTGCCTGTGAACTGGACCTGGATCCCTTTAAGAGCAAGCTGTGCCCTTAACTGCTGAGCCATCCCTCTAGCCCTAGGTAAACTTTTGAAAATGAATAACTCTAACACTAAATAAAAATAAAAATGTGAACAGTTTAAAAAGTGAGTAAAGGAAACCACATGAAAATTGTAGTTACATTGCTTCTTAGTCTATTTTTTAGCATTTTTGAATGCAGAATTACTAAGAAAAATCTCAAATCTAAAAACATATCTCTAAAAACTACTGGTGTGTTTCATATTAACAACTGATATCATTGTAAAAATAAGAAAAAAACCCTGCTACACAGTATGTGTTCCTTATAGTCACACAATAACAAGTTGACTTTTTACAAAAATAGATATTTCGTTTAGTTTTTAACAATAGATACATTGTATTGTGTATGCATATTAGTATATAGTTAAATATCACTAAAATATTATTATGTCACAAAGGGTCATTTTTATTATTAGTCATTTTTATTATTTTTATGCCTAATAAAATAATATAGTCATCTGAATAAAACATAAAATAATGATTTATTTCTGTTTGTGGAGAGCAACAGTTGACTTATGGGGAAAGAGTCAGTGAGTCGGTAGTTTATATGTGTAGTCACATAAATTCATTTCAGGCCAGATAATACTCTCACAAAAACTTCTGTCCTGTGTCTTCTCTGCTTTTCTCTCACTAAGAGATGCAGTTCAGGATACACAACTATTAAGGGTGGGATCTTTCCCTAGTTCTGTTTATGAGAAGCAATGGAAGCTAATGAAGATAATTATCCTTTATACTACAGGGAAGACAGGGACCAGAGTTAGAACTGGAGAGTTTATTAGCATCTTTTCCAGAAGTGAACAAGGAGAATAATTACGTTTACCTCTCTCAAGATTTCCTACACTGGCAGTTTGATATTGTTGTTGTTGTTGATGATGATGATCATGACGATGATTTATGATGTTGATGAAGATGATGATGATGGTGTTCATGATGATGATGTGTTGTTCATGATGATGATGACAATGCTTTTGTTTTTCCAGACAGGACTTCTCTAATTTAGCCTGGCTGTCCTGAACTCACTCTGTAGACTCAGATGGCCTCCATCTCAGAGGTCCACCTGCCTCTGCCTCCCAAGTGCTGGGAGTAAAGACATGTGCCACCACACCCAATTCTAGATATTCCTTGGAAAGATTTCTGTCCCTGGTTTGTCTCTGTCTCCAGTTCCCATCATGCTTCATGGGATAGTCACCAAAACCTAGCTTCCTTATTCCAGAGAGTTCTCATCTTAAATGAACATTTTTTTAAATTTAAAAGTTATTTTTTCATTTTGCACAGCGAACCACAGTTCCTACTCCCCTGCCATCCCATTTCCCACACCTCGCCCCCTCAGAGAGGGTAAGGCCTCCCATGGGGAGTCCACAAATTCTGGCATATTAAGTTGAGGTAGGACCAAACCCCTCCCACTGCATCAAGGTTGAAGAAGTTATCCCACCATAGGGAATGGGTTCCAAAAAGTCAGTTCATGCACCAGGGATAAATCCTTGTCCCACTGCCAGGGGCCCCACACACAGATCCACTACAGAATTGTCACTCACATTCAGAGGGCCTTTTTCAGTCCCATGCATGCTCCCCAGCTGTCAGTCCAGAGTCCCTGAATTCCCACTAGCTTGGGTCAACCATCTCTATGGGTTTCCCCATTATGATCTTGACCTCCCTTGTTCATATAATCCCTCCACTCTCTCTTCAGCTGGACTCCAGGAGCTCAGCCCAGTGGTTGGCTGTGGATCTCTGCACACTCTTCCATCAGTGTTATAGATGAAGGTTCTATAATGACAATTAGGGTAGTCATCAATCTGATTACAGGGGAAGACCAGTTCAGGTACCCTCTCCACTATTGCTTGGAGTCTTAGCTGGGGTCATCCTTGTGGATTCCTGGGAATTTCCCTAGCACCAGGTTTCTCCCTAATCCCCATAATGACTCCCCCTAACAATGTATCTCTTCCCTTGCTCTCCCTCTCTGACCCTCCTCCAACTTGGCCCTTCCCTTCCCAACATTCTCATTCCCCCCACCCACAACATACACCCAGTTAACCCAGGAGATATTATTTATTTTCCCTTCCTAGGGTGATCCATGGATTTCCCTCTAAGGGCCCTCCTTGTTACCCAGCTTTTCTGTGGCTGTGGATTGTAGCCTGGTTGTCCTTTACTGTATAGCTAATATCCACTTATAAATGAGTGCATACCATATTTGTCTTTCTGGGTCTGTATTACCTCACTCAGGAGGATTTTTTTTCTAGTTCCATCCATTTGCCTGCAAATTCATGATGTCATTGTATTTTTACCACTGAGGAATACTCCCATTGTGTAAATGTACCACATTTTCTTTATCCATTCTTCAGTTGAGGGGTATCTTGGTTTTTCCAGGTTCTATTCCAGGCTATTATGAATAATGTTGCTATGAGCATAGTTGATCAAAAGTCCTTGTGGTATGATTGTGCATCATTTGGGAATATGCCCAAGAGTGGTATTGCTGAGTCTTGAAGTAGATTGATTGCCAATTTTCTGAGAAATTGCCACACTGATTTCCAAAGTGGCTGTTCAAGTTCACACTCCCACCAACAGTGGAGGAGTGTTCCATTTACTCCACATTCTCTCCAACATAAGCTGTCATTTATGTTTTTGATCTTAGCTATTCTGACAGGTATAAGATTGTATCTCAGAGTCATTTTGATTAGCATTTCCCTGATGGCTAAGGATGTTGAGCAGTTCCTTAAATGTCTTTCAGCTGTTTGAGATGCTTCTGTTGAGATCTATATCTCAACAGAATCTCTGTTCAGATCTATATCCCATTTTCAATTGGATTATTTGTTTTTTGATGGCTAGAGTTCTTTATATATTTTGGAGATCAGCCCTCTGTCAGATGTGGGGTTGGTGAAGATCTTTTTCCATTCCTTAGGCTGTTGTTTTTTTCTTATTTACTGTGTCCTTTGCCTTACAGAAGCTTCTCAGTTTCAAGAGGTCCCATTTATTAATTATTACTTTCAGGGTCTATGCTACTCATGTTTAGGACATGGTCTCTTGGGCCAATGTGTTCAAGGCTACTTCCTACTTTCTCTTCTATCAGGTTCACTGTAACTGGATTTATGTTGAGGTCTTTGATACTTTGGACTTGAGTTTTGTGTTGGGTGATAGATATGGAGCTATTTGCATTCTTGTACATGCTGACATATGTTATGCCAGCAACATTTGTTGAAGATACTTTCTTTTTTTCCATTGTACAATTTGGCTTCTTTGTCAAAAATCAGATATTCATGGGTGTGTGGATTAATGTCAGGATCTTCAATTTTATTCCTTTGATCCATGTGTCTGTTTTTATTCTAATACCAAGGCATTTTTATTACTATAGCTCTGTAATAGAGCTTGAAGTCAGGGATGGTAATGACTCTAGAGGTTCCTTGATTGTACAGGATTATTTTGGTTATCCTGGGTTTTTTGTTTTTCCACATGAAGTTGAGTATTGTTCTTTTGACATCTTTGGAGAATTGTGTTGGGATTTTTATGGAAATTGCAATGAATCTGTAGATTGCTTTTGGAAAGACTGCCATTTTTACTATGTTGATCCTACCTATCCATGAGCATGTGAGATCTTTTCATTTTCTGATATTTTCTTCAATTTCTTTCTTCAAAGGCCTAAAGTTCTTGTCATACAGGTTGTTCAGTTGTTCGGATTGAGTTATCCCAAGACATTTTATGTTATTTGTGGATATTGTAAAGGGTGATGCTACCCTGATTTCTTTTTCAGCTCATTTATCATTTGTATATAGGAGGACTACTGATTTTTTTGAGTTTATCTTGTATCCCACCACATTGCTGAAGGTGTTTATCCATTGTAGGAGTTCCCTGGTAGAATTTTGGGCTTGCTTATCTATACTATCACATTCTCTGCAAATGGAGAGGATTTGACTTCTTCCTTTCCAGTTTGTATCCCCTTGATCTCCTTTTGTTGTCTTATTGTTCTAGCTAGAACTTCGAGTACTATAGTGAATAGATATGGAAAGAGCAGGCAGCCTTGTCTTGTTCCTGATTTTAGTGGAATCACTTTGAGTTTCTCTCCATTTAGTTTGATGTTGACTGTTGGCTTGCTGTATATTGCCTATATTATGTTTAGGTATATTCCTTGTATCACTTATCTTTCCAAGTCCTTTATCATGAAAGTGTGTTGAATTTTGTCAAAGGCCTTTTCAGCATCTAATGAGATGATCATGTAGTTTTTTTCTTTTTATATGGTGGATTACATTGACAGATGTTTGTATGTTGTACCATTCCTGCATCTCTGGGATGAAGCCTACTTGGTCATAGTGGATAATTTTTTTGATGTATTCTTGGATTCGGTTTGTCAGCATTTTACTGTATATTTTTGCATCAATGTTCATGAGGGAGATCGGTTTGTAATTCTCTTTCTCTGTTGTGTCTTTTTGTGTTTGTATATCAGGGTGACTGTACCTCATAAAAAGAGTTTCACAATGTTTCTTCTGTTTATATTGTGTGGAACAATTTGAGAAGTATTGGTATTAACTCTTCTTTGAAATTCTGGAAGCATTTTGTGCTGTAACCATGAGGCCCTGGGCTTTTTTGTTGGGAGAATATTAATGACTTAAAATGGTTATAGGACTATTTAAATTGTTTGTCTGGTCTTGATTTAATTTTGGTAAGTGGTAACTATCCAGAAAATTGTCCATTTCTTTTATATTTTCCAATTTTGTGGAGTACAGATTTTTGAAGTATGACCTAATGATTCTTTGGATTTCCTCAGTGTCTGTTGT